CGATCGGTGTGGAGATCCTTGGGGGAGGCCTATGCTCAGCAGTGGGCGTCATACGGCTGACATGATGATGATGATGATGATGATACAAGTCAAGGATGGTGTCGGAAATCATATTAAGTAATGATATGTTAACCTCTCAATACTGTTTCTAGAAAACTTATTCGATCCAAAGAATGCTAGTTATCATTTGTGAAGATTACTACTATCAGTTCGTGTAGATTAGAACTAGTTTATTAGTCGCATCCATGTTTCTTGTTGCTTCTTACACCTAACATATTATAACAATGTGAAATTCTGGAAATATAAAACTTACTACCCATTACGAGCATTATGAATCTTGTCTTTTTATACAACAACTAACACCCGACTCCACTCATATCAAACCAGTCTTATACGGTGAAAGTCTATGCATACGATACCACCTGATTGTGCTTCCGGTGTATTAACGCCTTGGGTGTTGTTTAAGATAATTACTATATTGATGAGGTTGAATATTAAGAGAGAAAAGTTTACAAAGCCGTGAACAGTAATTTCCATGTAGTGAGACATTTCTACTTCTAAAATTTGACAATTGCAAGTGGGATTTCACACGAGTAGTTTTATTACGCACTGTGCTAAAATCGTGATATCAGTGCTCATTATATAAAGCTTTCAACTTGTATTATCAACTTTGCTTCCGAGTTCAAAAAGCAAACCATGCGTACCACAAGACAGAATATTTAATTTGAAGCGTTACAAAATGTCTGGAACATCCTGATAGGTTAGTATATCGCCAGTGGTACAAACTACAGCCACCAATATACCCACTAGATGGTCTAGTCTGGCCAGTTTTAAGGATCTACAAATACACAAATTAGAATTTAATTGATTAAAATCTTATAAAGTGTTTATATGATGTTAGTAAAGCTGCAATCGCGCATTAATCAGCGCATTCTGTAGGCAATTTCGGAAATTAAGCAAATATCATAATGGGCAGTTATGTTGATGAAGACTGAAAATTAATAACATAATCTTAATCTTCGGTAGACGCGGCTGCATTGCTCTAATTAGTAGAGGCTTGCTTAATAGATTATGTTCCTTACTGGCAGTGCGGGCCATTTCAATCAATACCAATCAAAGGGAAGGTTTATTCATTAGCAAAGGGGATATTAGACTTGACTAATAGGGTCATTGATGACAGGAGTGTTTTATTAAAATGTGATTAAATGACAAAAAAGTATAAGAAACAGTTATATTATAAACAACCACTTAATTAAGTGTAATTACTCCCTAATAGACTTAGCAGAAGTCGTTGATACTGACAAAATATATCAGATGAGTAAAATGGCACAGCCAAATTAAAAGCACGGCAGCAGTTTAAAAAATACATTAATTACATTTGATTTCTGAGAGGTTTAGTATGGGTAGTTAAAATATTTATACCACATAATTTTATAGATGATTCGAAATAATTACCTACTTAAAATAAAGCAAGCAATAAAATTAGAACATCTTGATGCATTTACTGAGCATACTTAAATAAAACCTGATATTGGCGAAAGAAATACCAGCTTACTTTAATTTTAGAGCTTAACAAGTGCTTATATTAAATAAAACGATTTTTACGGGTTATATGCTCTGAATTTATTTATCTGACGTTTCGCAGCCTTTGCAGGACTGTGTCTTCAGAAATAAATGAAAATCTTATTTCTTTTAATTATTTTATTTAATGAGTAATGTGCGTGAAAACCTAATAAACAAATAAGTACTTATATTTTCTTAAAGCAGAATATAGGCAAAACAAATAAAATACTCGCCTTCCCCCACAAGTAAAACCATGAAGAGGAAGTTGTAAAGCAAGCAGGACTTTGAATTTAAGCACAAGCGGAATCTTTGTGACAAACTTCGTCCTTGTAATTAAGAAAAAAAGGAATAATGGGTCAGTGAAACGACACGTCACAAATAAATGTTCTATACTGAATGAGTTTTTATTTGGAGTAGCCATATTTGATATTATTTAATTGGAAAAAATATAATTACGCATTGGATAATATTTATTTAAATCAGTGACCAAATCCGATAACAGTGTCTAGTTTAGGCGGATAATTAGTTGATCATGTTTTACTGATAATAAAAAATAGACTTTATTGACTGTACAACAAAATAACAAGTTATTTGTATTTTATGGTTTAAAAATAGTATTAAATAACATTTACAACTCTATGATAAAATATACATATACATCCTGTCGTTTCAACTTCAAAACACATTCGTGTATTTGATTTGTTTCTATTTGTCAATAATTGCCAATGATCATAATGTAAAATGCGAAAATTTAACAATTAGAAAAAAAAATCTGAATTCAACATGCACATAAACGGTATGGTTCCTTGTAGTTAGTTCGTTAGATCTTTAGAAAAGACCGACACATATGAATGCATTCTATAAAATATTTAACTATCTAGGTATGCATTGCAGTTCAAGATAGACAGACATACTTAGTTACATAAAAGAGAGATGGACTTACAGACGAGCAGTAAAGGCTTGTTTGGGTTGGTTTGGTTTATCATCCTTCATGTATAGAACCCTCGAAATTTCCCAATTTTGGCTTGTGGCTGAATTCCGCCATTGTTGTGAACAGACAGGAAATATTGGATCACCTAACATGCCCTACAAATGAGATTCTGTCATTTCCACTGTTCGAGACACAAAATAGTATTTTCAAAGACCTATTTATGTAGTAGCCTAAAATTTTCCTATAAATATAGGAAAATTTTCGAATGAATGAAGAAGCATTTTTGCAGGCCGGTAAGGTGAGGATGGTTGGTGTGGCAGTTTATAACTGCTGTACCAGTTATCTTCGCGTTTGGACTCTATCACCACTCAACATCAGGTGAGGTTGAGTAATATACCTTGCTATAAAAAAAAATGTAAGCCAATTATATCAAAGACAGAAAAACGATTTGTTTTGAAAACACTTAAACCGTAGACCAACAAGTCCGGAAAGCGTAGATCCGTGCGGTCTACGTTTATCATGAGCTCAGTTTTTGTGTTGTTTGTAAAGAGAGCCCATCTCGTTGGTGACCACCGTACGTGCCGTGGCTCCGGCAGTACCGAGTTGCAGTTTCATAGTCATTCAGAACTGTTTGATCCGCTGCAATCGATACGCAGGAAAAACAAATAAGAATCAAAAACTAATATCGACGAGGGCTTGAATCGTTTCACGCACGATGCTCTTTATGTGCTTAGGAACGATTTTATAGAACTGTACCCTTAGCCGAACTATTATCGAATTCGAATAGTTTGCGAGTCTGAAATGTCATTGTCAAATGTGTACTGATTTTTAGTTCTCGTTACGTCCATTGTGGCGCTGCTGTTCAAGTTTCCATACAAAATTTGACAATGACATTTGGCCTAGTAGTTAGAACCCGCCTAGGGAAGCAAGCTCCACCTTACAGAATACTGCAGCCAAATAACACTACCTATCCGTCATCTTATGGATTTAATTTGTAATGAGTGTGATATCTAATGCTCTTGGAGGTAGGGGGTAGCAGATACTTTGGTATTGCAAACTTTTTAATTACATATGTATTAAGTTTTCCACTAGGCATTTTAAATGATTCTTTACAACCCACATTACATAAAAACTTATTGATAGAAACTTTTAAAGAAGACTAATATAGACATTCTGTCACTTAGAATCTGCTTTTTTTTCGCGGTAAGAGCAAGTGCTCTACTTTCATTTTTACAATATAAAAATAATGTATAAAACATGTTGAATAAAAAGTATAATATATTGTTTTAAAAAGTATAATATAGGTGTTTGTGTAAAATGATTCAATTTAAAGATGTTTATTAACTATGGTAAGATTAATTGCCCTTTTTATATACCTATCTGACTGATAAAATATCATTGTTCTTGAAAACACTGAGGTAGTGAATGTGAAACTAAATATGTATAGAAATGTAAAATAATGAAAAACATACATTATTATCTTCCATTTCATTACTGTTTGCTTGAAAAAGTTTGAAACTGACATACTCAAAAAAGTATTATCGTTTTCATATGTAAATTTCCTGTTTCATTTAAATAAAATATTATTCTAAATGTTACAATCCCGATCAAAAAAATGTGCATATTATTTATTCCAATTTATATCCAACTCAGAACTAAATGGTGCTTGAAAACATATAAAATAAAAATCTAAGTTTATTTCTATATAAAATTATGGAAATGTATTTATGTGACCAGCGTGAATATATTTTATTAGAAGTACTTGAAAGATTTTCTATAACTCCTGCTAACACATAAAAAAGATGTTTTCCATAAATCGTGATCTAATTTTGAAAACAGTAATAAAACGATGTTTAATCATTTATTTCTCATGTCATCTCATTAGGCACCTGCTTAATAATTTAGATTTACGGTGCAAAGTGGCTCACCGTTGCAAATTATGCGCAAATTTGTCAAATATTAAAATTTTATTCGACGTGTTTACGAGAATTATATAATTATACTAATTCCCTGCGGTATTTGTATAATTTAGAATTTTTTCGTTGTACATTTGCATAAAGATGTCGTAATAAATGCTTAACATTCGAATATTACCACTTTGATTAACAGCAAAACGGCCGTGAAGATTAAAACGTAAAGAGATCTTTATCTGTATGATGATAAAAATACGTTTTTTTAATCATACTTATGTTTAGTTTACCTTTTCAATAATTTTGATTAGAATGTCAATTACATACAAAAAAATAGAAGTTGCTTTTAATGGAAACTAAAATACTTCATTGTGAAATTCATAAAAAAAATACAAATCCCTTGGTGGATAAGTTACATGAGATTGTCATGCTTTCATTTCGTATTGTAGTGTTGAAAACACATGTGCCTATATGTAAAACAATATATCGGTATCAATGTAATCACAAAGTAATATAAATCTCAGGTTTCATCTCGTTAGGTTACATGAAGTAATAAATTTGGTAAACGTTTATAAATTCAATAGTGCAGTACTTACGTCATGATCTGGCACATACGAGTAGACATGGAGTTTGTCAATCCTTATCGTGCCTTGGAAAGGGTAGAGGAGTGCTCCTCGTTGGATCTCAGTCGAAGACCAAACGCTGACAGACGCCTCACGACCTCTCGCACCACCGGGCCTTAACGCCAAACTCAGCTCTTGGGGTATCAGAACCAAGGTCTCCATCTTTATAGCACTACCACACAAACTTAGATGACGAAAAATATGGTCCAAAGCAAATCAATTAGTCCCGAAACACCCACCCACTGCCCAAAGTTCAAAACCTCAGCGCGTCGTAAATGAGTAATCTTTAAGAATGTGACCGGTCTCGTCCATCACACTTAATGAGGATAAATAAATTATTGAATAAGAAGAAGACGAGAGAAAAAAAAGTCACGCAGCAGGGACGTCCGTCGCTTCGATTATCGAACGATGTCGCCAACATATATCGGTTCGCTGCGTGATCGATCGCCCGGTGAAACGTCAGGGTAGATAAATCAGTGCGATCAATCGAAATCACTTGCTCATGTAAATTTGAAAGTCACTAAGTCCTCCAAAAAAAATTCAAAATTTTTTTTTGCTCGTGTTCGAAAACGTCCAAAGCCCGTTCAATACCGTCGGAACAATATTAACATTACGGTCGAGGGCGGGTACTGCACCGCTCACGCAGGATGCGCGCGCGCTCTTCTCTGAACGTGCACTGAAGGAAGCGCTAACATTGACCTTAGCCGCGGCCGTGATCGCGTTTACAGTTCATTTTTTGTTCGATAAAAAGGAGAGGAGTAAAGCCCTACAAGCTTAAGAAAAACCGGTTCCAATTGAATTTAAACTCTAACGGACGGGTATAAGGTCGTGCGCAGCTGTTGGGTTAAGTTTGTAAGGTGTGTAGTAAGGTGCTCCCCTCCATAGGCGGCACCTGCAAGCTCGCGCGCCGCCCGTCATTGCGACTTAGAACGTCGCGTTGCGCGCGCGCACCTGATGCCACCTGTGTTTTTTTATGACGATTAGAGCTATCCCAACGTGTTTTTTTACGATGCCATTTCAAATGGGGCAGGTGAAAATGTTTCTAATCGGTTTTAAGTCGCAACTAATGGCATTCTGTTGCATATTGTGACATACAGAGTTGGGGTGAGATAATAGCGGGTTTATTATTTGAAATAGATGTAATTTTTTTTTTCTCTAGTTACATTGTATAAATATGGTATGTAACAAATGTTATTCATTTTCATTTTGACGATCGCAGAGAAATCATTATCGGCTAGATACCTCAAGTCCAGATTTGGCTGGTTTCTATTTCTTTGAGTTACGTAGGTGTTTTTATGTATTCGGGATTCTTTTGCTAATATTTCGCACAAAGGTTATATTAAATTTATCGGTACATAATAATCACATATATATTTTTGAAATACGAATAAATAGATTGAACTCGAAATTCAAAATATTAATAAAATCATCCTATTCATAGACACACAAACTCGGAAAATGTCTCCATAAAGCATTTATTGGGACGAAAATTTAACCGAGGTTCTTAGAAGAAAAGTTGTAAGGTTCAATTTCGCTTAAGAGCCACCTCGTTTAACACATGATACAGAAAATGTCGACGACCTAAACACACCTGCCGTAAACCGCAATCCTACTCAACGGTGTGTCGGTTAATTTTAGTACTGTCGGCAACTTATCGAGCATAGCCCACTCCATACAATTGTTATTAAGTAATTCTAAATAGCTTTTTTTAATAAATCAGTAACACCTATGATGTTTTTCAGAGTTAAATGTTTTCGGTATTTAATTTAAATAAGAGTAATGATGGGTTTTCAATTTAGTTTTGGATTCACATAAAGCACACCAGCGAATCAGATTAGAAAAAACGGCCAAGCTCGAGTCGGATTCGCGCACGAAGGGTTCCGTATAACAAACCGCGAAAGGAAAAATCATTTGTTTGTTTTCGTCACAACTTACAAAGAATATTATGAATTGGCGTTTTCAGTGTTTATTGTTTAAATGGGCCATTATACACTAAAATTTCACATTCCTAACTAGTTTCGTTTTCCGTTTGAGATAGATCCCGTAACAAAAATGGTCTAAAAATTAAAACATCGATAGCTTCCCATTGCTTTGTTTTAAAAATTAAAGAATAATAAGAATTATATTCATATCCTACACAACAAACTCAAGACAATGATTTGTCACATGCTGGGGTTACAATATATCTTTTGTCTCCTTTTCATGTATTGCTGAATGGGACCCCCATGAAAAATATTTTAATAGGATTTTTAACTAAATATTCGGTTTTTTGCCAGCAGTTTTCATGAAATAGTTAAAGTTCAGTTGTATAACTTATTTCTTTTAAGATCTACAGACCACGGTACAAGATACGGACGGGCAGACAGACAGACGACAGAGTGATAGGAATAGAGTGGAACGATATTGTTGTGTTTTTACCATTTGGTTGCAGAACTCCAAAAAAAGACGAAAATATTATTACTTCAAATATGTATTTACTAATTAAATGTTAGATAATACAGCTTAACTCACACTGTCACGACATGACTGCATAATAATGCAAAATTGGGGTTCATATCTTTTCTTCGTTAAAATCATCTTTCTGTTTAAGATTTTTTATTACCTACACTGATTTTTTTGGAAAAATCATCATCAGCCTATTAATGTCCTCACTATTGGGGCACATGCCTTCCCTATGGATGGAATAGGGAGATTGGGCCATCACCCACCACGCGGGCCCAGTGCGGATTGGTGGGTGCTAACGACTGTAAATGCAGCCGGGACCAACGGCTCAATGTGCCTTCCGAAGCACGGAGGAGCTCAAGATAGTAAATTTTGGTCACACATACAATGACCGACCACTGCGAAAGTTGCTTAACTTCAACGATCGCAGCGGAACCCGCTAGCCACCTGCGCCAGCGAGCTCCTCCGTCCACCATTTGGAGAAATAAAAAAATATATTGTCATCTCATATTGGAAGATTTTTATTATATTTTGTTTTTTATTTGGAAGACTCAAGGTTAGGTACTGCTTTACTCCTTCTGTTAGAATCGCGTGTCAAGGCTCTAGATGTCCTGTTGAGGCACTTCATGCAACTAGAGGAAGTCAGCCAGCTTTAAGTAGTACCTAAAGATTTAGAATAATTTCACCAATGCCGCCGCAACAATATGGATGGATGACAAAATATAGGAAAAAGAAAACCCGATTATTTGTACTACGAACAGAGAAATATTTTATTATTAATCGATTTTTAGCTTTCAAAAAAATGAATGCCTTCTCTAGAACTGATTTTAAGTACTTAAAGACATAGTACACAGTGTACACGTAAAATATATTTTGAAAATTACGAGTAATTATATAAAACTAGTTTTAACGGGTTAATGCACGAAACTTTATTTATTTATTGACGTTTCTCAGCCTTTTCGGAGTGAAGTGCGTGAAAACCTAAGAAAGAAATATACGAGTAATTATTTTTAAGAAGAAGGTGGTCTCTTAGTCATCAAGTCAGTATCTGATGATGGCATCCTGAAGAAATCGAGGGGATTCTTGAAACAAGCGGCAAATTAATAGTAGCTTGGACATTTTTTTATAGTAACCCATATTTTGTTCTTAAAAGATACATTTGGTTAAGAGAATAAAATATGGCCACCGGAACTAATCAATAATTATTATATCACAACTGCGATACGATAACCTTAATTGGCAATATAGTTTTCTTAAACATGCTTGGAAATTTAAACATTACTTCGACACCTATCTTCGAGATTAGTCGAAATTACTGTACCTACTGGGCAAATGCAACATGCGAGCAGCGGCCAGCAAAAGTTCTATGAAAACCCAAATTTGTCTTGGTTTAGCGGCCAAATAAATTACATAGGAAACTCATATCTATCGTGTAATTAAAAAAAATGGAAAGATAAATAAATAATAATAAATAAATATTTCCAACACTTACACCAATTAGCCTACCCCCAAAGTAAGCACTATAAGGCTTGTATTATGGGATACTAGGGTAAAGGATAGAATACATAAAGGTACTGTACATATATAAGTATATTTTTAAGAAAAGACATTTTAAACATCTATGACTGGAGTACAAATGCTCGTATTCATCACACAAACATCTGCCCCCACCGGGATTTGAACTCGAGTCAGCGACACCATGAAACCCGGCGTACAAACCACTAGGCCACGGAGGTCGTCATTACTCGGCATCCGATCTTTTACTTCGAAACATGGCAACCAAGGAGCTAACTTAAAAAAATCTTGCGTATAATTGGGCTTAAGCTGATTATTGGGAAACCTAAGAAATGAACTACCTAAGTGAAAACTAACTGTATTTTAAAACAAAAAGTTCGGCCTAGCTACTGCTTACTTTTAATTTCCGCGCATTATTAGAGAAAAGTAAGTACTACACAAGCCTTGGCAACAACTTGTCGATGGCATTGATGGACGTCAGTACGCTGGAGTACCTAATGTACTATTTGTCACAAAGCTGATTGGTTAATAATGCTTTTCTTAACTTTCAGTGGTGCTATTATAATGAAGTCTCTACCTATCCATATATTATTTTAACTTCTGCTTATTGGATCATTATGACATTTATTTATTATGACAAAAATTTTAGTGTTTTGTATTAATTCATGTTTGCCGAAATTCAAAACTACGTTGTCTGCTTAAACATTGTATTCATTGAATAATACGTGAACGTTTTTCTCTATTTTAACCCAAATATTTCTCAAAACATGTATTAAGTGCACTAAAATAACACTAAATTAGAAATAAAAACCTAACCGTAAGCTCCAATAAAAAAACAACTTGACAGGCTCAAAAAAGCGCACAACCACAAACGGCTTATCGCCGCAACACATGTCATGAATGAACGTCATATTGTCAATGATGTGCATCCGAAAATAAGTGAAAAAAACGAACAAAATTATATCACGTCTCGCATCCGCTCAAGTATCAAGATCAGATGGGCGGGTCTTAGTGAGGCGTGGCCTACCGCGGTCGGCCCCTGCGCGTAGGCAGCGTGCGATACCGGTAATGCGCTATTGTTGAGATTATCCTCAACTTAAATGGTCCGATTGGTATCAAATTTCGTATGGGTTTTTATGTTGTTTGTTTTGTATCAATGACTTAATCGGATTTCGTATTGAAGGAGATAGCATGAAAATTTTCTAGGTGCAGCAATTTTTTTTAAGGTTTTGATTTTGATAAATTTTATTCATAGGTATCCATCATAAATTTATAAAATTGAAAAAATTCAAAACATTGGACATTTGAGTTCAGTAATAAACAGCCATTTGGCGTACAAGGAAAATGCAAATATTTGTTTGTTTTATTTAATGAAATTTTATGAGGCATAGACAACGATATTAAATACCCTAGATACACCATGTGCGCTCTAAATGTGTTCCTATCAAGAAGTGCTTGAACACCACTCAAGCACTTCTTGGTTCACAGTGGAAAGTGACTTCATGAGTTATCTCATATTGAGTCATTTTTCAAATTGACGACTCTGTATATAATACAGGGAGAAAAACAGCCCTTGCTGAGTTTCTTGCCGGTTCTTCTCAGTACAAGGTATCCCGCCGTAGATTTGCGAACCGATGGCGTAGCTTTTTGACATTCACAAGTGCTTGTAACAGCCTAGACTGAATAAACGATATTGAATTTTTTTTTCGAATTTTTTTGAACAGTCTCGCGCGGACCGTTGA